TATTGAAACCAGTGGTCCAACATGACAACCAGGTAACAAGAATGATTAAGTCAACAAAAGCTGCTCACAAGTTTCTCTCATGACAGGTTTTATTTAAACACAGGAAGTGTGTGCTGTTATGTCCCATAAAAAAATGTATACGCACACCAACAAGATAAATGAAGTTGACTGACAATTTAAAGCTTCTTTCCAATAGTCTTACTAAAATCAGGTTGTAAAAAGATGACTTGCAATGTTATTTGCCCACGCAGGACAAAGCAATAGGTTCACTTTAATGGTGACCTACCAGCAGCTTACACTTATCTTTCTTTTGTTCCCACAAAGCTCTATTGAGTGACCAGAAATGTAAAGATTTAACTCTTTGGAAGTGCCAAGTCGTGACTTGGAGGTTACATAGGGCAAAGGGTGTTTTTCCTACCCCATGAACGCCTGAGCAGCCAATCACCAATGTTTTAATGTAGGAAAAAGGAGAGTAAGACACATGATCTCCATACTATACGCAGGTTGTGGATAGTTCTTTTTACTTGCAGTGCCTGAACGGACTGGCAGAAATATAAATATGGGCTTCTAGTAGTTCAACCATTAAATTAAACCTGTTGCTTTGTTCTGTACAGGAGAAACACAGGTTCACTTTATGCAGTAAGCAAAGTTCAGATGTACCCTTAATGCCCCGCTGCTGAATTTCCAAGGAATAGTTATTTTATTCCATCATATTATGAATTCAAGGTCTTTCTTATAACTCATGTGATTCCATTCTGTCTAGAAGTACTCACACATTTTACTATGGCTCATTGTAATGTAATTAAACATGTTTGTACACTAATTATCAAGTGCAAGAGAAAGCTTATGATTTCACCATTCTACAGTTAGGATCAGTTTTCCCACCATCAAATATTGTACATAGTATATGGAACTTAAAATACACGTTGAAATCGTCATCTGTAAACAAAGATACACAAGGCTTATTATGCCCAGTAGTATAAAGAACAATGACAACTGTAAACTGCAGCTAGCAAATTTTAACTCACACGAGGTTACATCATTTTTCCTTGGTTGTCCCATGTTACGTGTGCTCAGCCTTTTTGAACAAGACCAAGTGTGCATTAAACCAACAAGCAACCATGTAAAATACAGCAACCCACTTTCACAAGTTTGGTGTAATAAGATATGTTAACTGTACATCATTGCATTTTTGTATTGTTTTATTAGCCAATAGTGTGAGCTGCATCATATGGTACCCCAGCCTAGAAAGATAGAGCTTTATAATATTAGTGACTGGATAATTGCCGTGCAG